ACAGGTCGTAAACTAGCTGCTAGTTCTGGGGGACTACTGTCATTTCTCAATATTTCTACTAATTTTAGTAATTCACTATTTTGGTCATAACTTTTCTGAACCAATTCATAAAAAGCATTTTCCATGTCACATACGTGAATTCCCAAAATAGGAAATATGTCTTCATCCTCAGGATCATATGCTGGGTTATCAGGGGTATTAGGGAGTGCCCATCTACTTAATCCATCAGCATTCATGTGTTTTTTGCCAGCTTTATGGATTATGGTCATATGCCCTCTATACTGCTGAATAGCAATCTGCCATCTTAACATGTGCCTGTTGGGAGTTTTCATATTCATTAAAGTTTTAACAGCGGTACAATCAGTGATAACTACAAAGTTAGAACCTTCTAAGTAGTAATGTAATTTGTCCAGAGCCCATACTAAAGCTAAGCATTCCATTTGGCTAGCTCCATATTTCCTCTCAGATTCTTTAATTTGTCTGGATATGAAAAGAACTGGTTTTTCCATAGGTTTGTCATCTACAATAAATTCTTGGTGAAGAGCAGCTCCAAGCCCATCTAAACAAGCGTCAATATACAGTATAAATGGTTTGTCATAATCTGGTTGGGCTAGGACTGGTGCAGAAGTGAGTAATCTTTTTAATTCTTCATAATTTTTGACTCTTTCCCAGGTCATCTCATAAATGGTGTCATCTTTACACAGTGCGTATATATTCTTGCTTACTATGGCAAATTGAGGGATATGTTGCCTGTAGTAACTACAAAAGCCTAAGAATGACATCATTTCTTTCAAGTTATGAGGAAGAGTTTTGTTCATTACTGCAGCTACTTTGTTTTTATCTACAGCTAAAGTTAGGCCAGATACTATCCTACCCAGAGCTTTAAGTTCTCCGTAGCCAAAGTTACACTTTTTAATAGACATCTTCAAGCCAGTTTTGATGGCGGTACTAAGCACTAGGTTGATTTTCTCTAAGTGGGTTTCCCAATCATTTGAATATATAATAATATCATCTATGTAAACCATCATCCAGTCTTGTCTGATGAAAGCACCAAAAATTGAGTCCATCATTCTTTGGAAATGGGAAGGGGCATTTTTAATCCCAAAGGGCATTCTCAAATATTCATATATCCCCAAGTGACAAATTATTCTCAAAAATTGTCTGCTATCTGGGTCAATGGGTATCTGATGGAAACCTTTAAGAACATCCATAGTGGTGATGTATTTAGCTTTGGATAAATTATGCAAGGAGTGATCAATACGTGGAATGGGGTAATAATCAGGTCTAGTGTAATTATTCAGAGCTCTGAAATCCCCAACCATTCTTGACTTCTCATTATGCCAAGCAATAATTACTGGGGTAGTAATTTCTACTTGCTCATTATGTCCAACTTTCCTCAGAACACCTAATTCCATTAACTCTTTAATGTGAGTTTCTAAAGCTTCTCTGGATTTAGGACTGGAAGGATAAGGAGGTCTTCTCAAGATAGGAGGATAAGGCTCTTTAACAGTTAATTCCAATTTCATTTCATGACCTTTTATGTTACCAATAGGTTCTTCAGTAGTACAAAAGGATTCTTTATTTATGAAGCAAGTTTTAAGTACGTCTAATTTCTGTTGCTCATCTAAAATATCACTAACAGCTGCTTGAGAAAGATATTCAGCTTTGAAGGACATCATTTCTTCCGTCATTTCATCAGGTACATCAGGGAGTTTGATATTCACATTGCAAATTTGGAACTTCCTTTTCCAATCTCCACCAATAGTGTAGAATCTGTTCTTACTCTGAAATATGTCAATTCCATACATGCAAAAAGTGTCATTTCCTAGAATTAAATAGTCACAAATGGCATCTTGAAGAACCACAAATTCTATGGACAATCTTAAAGATCCTTTGGAATGTGGGAAAATTAAGGGCATTACCACAATTCCTAGGGGTTTCATGGAGGAATTACAACTACTAAACTTAGCCTTGGGAACAGGGAGTAGGTTATTTTTCCATTCTGGGTAGATTTCATTCAGAAAGTCACTACTAGTACAGGAGCAAAAGGCTCCAATATCTAATAAGGCTTTGATGGATTTATCCTCAAATATAACAGAGGTATAACTAGTTTTTCCCAGAGTGTAACTCATCCCCTTTTCTGGTTTATTAGTGAGTAATTTAGCGTCAGACACATGACCAATTTTCATTGAGGAATCCCATTTCTGCGGTAAATTAGAATCTCCTTGGATGGTATTGATATGTAATTCATCACCAATATCAGCTTGGATTACCACAATTCTATGAGACTCCTCTTCTCCTGGTTCAGTGGTTATGACATCAAATTGAGATCCAGAGTCATATTCACTGTCAGTCTCTTCATACACTTCCACATTATTGATCTTTTTGCGTGGATTAGGGCACTCAGGTCTTTTGTGGCCCTTTTCTCCGCAATTGTAACACTCAGGAATGCTAGCTTTTCTTACAGGGGCTTCAGCTGCGGGACCTTTTTCTTTGACATTGTCTGGCTTGATAAATTCTCTTTTTTCGGGTATATTACTTCTGACATATTTTTTATTCAAGCCATTCATAATCACCACTTCCTCCAATACTCCTACAAACTCTGTTAGATCAACATCCATATCTTTTAGCCTACATCTAACTAAGTGTTCTATGGTTCCTTTGCATTGAGTTAATAACCTGTCATTTATTTCTTCAGCAGTGGGATTATTGTAAATACATTCAATCCTTTTCTTTTGGATTAAGCACCATTCTCCTATAGAATGCTTAACTGGGTCAAAATAATCACTTTCAAAAGCTATTCTTTTGGCAGTTTTCCAAACTCTGGTACTAAACCTAGCAATAATTAGTTCTTTCCAAGTAGCCCAACTTTGTAAGCCTATAGATTGGCTTTTGGTAACAAACCAGTCTCCGGCTATTCCTTTCATGATTCTAGGGAGCTTGGAGGTAATCATGTCATCGGGGGCATTGTAAGTTCTCAACAAATAATCAATGTATTTAATGAAGCTAATATGGTCATATTCATCTTTACCGTCAAATTCAGGCCAATCTTTTATTGGGGGCATGTATTTATTTAGATTGGCTAGTTCAGCAGCCGTATAAGGTGTGGAATTCCTTATAAAATCTGCTTCCTCATTAGAATTCCTCTGTATCCTTAGGTCAGAAGTGTGCGGGAGGGGAGAACAATTTTTTACTGGTCGAGTGTTTGATTGCATAAAAGGATTGTTGTATTTTGGTTCCTCGGATCTCAAGAAACTACTTCCGTCCTGTTTGTGAATATTATTCTGATGAGGAGGAGCATCCCGACTTGTTTGACGATGAGTGAGCGTAGGATCCTTCTCCTCTCTTTTAGATGGGTCATTATCTGAAAATTTATCAGAGTTATTCAGAGAATTGGTCGTGTATTGTTTGATCGCGGAGAGTTCTTCTTTGATTGAACAGAACTGATCTTCTATCAATTTACTCAAGATATCTATTTTATTATCTGTATCTGAGCTCTTTTGTATCAACAAGTTTTTTAACTCGCTTGTTTTTCTCTCAAATTTAGCGTTCTCGACAATAGAATCTTGCCTGATAGAAGAGAGAATGTAATCGGCGTGAGCAGTACTCTGCGCCGCTGAGTTTCTAGCGAACTGAACTATCTCATTAATTACTTCTTTGTTGTCTTTAGAAATATCTCGGAGATATTCTACATCCTTCTGGATAATAGTCATCTGCTCGCTGTTTCTCGGCGTCAACTCAATAGGCAACGGTTTATTCAGTTGCTGTATTATCTTAAAGCAAACATTCTCTATGTTCTCTTTCATTTTACTAGTAGAAGATTCTAGACTATGTACAAGGCTAGCAAAATTACTCTCGCTATTCAAGTCTAAAGTAGAAATATTAAAATTCAATGTCTCTAAAGAATCTAGTATGGTAATAGCTACTTTAGGGTCTGTTATACATTCTGGTACAGACCGGACGCCATTTGAAGGAGATCCGTCACCTTCTTCCACTTGGCGGGATCGGAGAAATTTGTTGAGGTGGAGCTTTGCTTCTTGCCGGATTCGTTCTTCTTGAATTTCATCAGGTGTTTCTTTGGTGGGGACGGAAAATGTATCTTCTTTTCGTCCCAAGGGTTCCAACCCTTCACGTAGCTCTCGATCTCCTCGTTGTCGATGAGTTTCTGAAGAGCCTTCTGACTCTCCTGAGCGGTAGTCAGTAAGGCTCGTAGCTTTTCTGTCGGTCCTTCTCGAGTAGCTACTTGGCATTGTCTCCAGAGCGAGACGTGCTCTTTGACCCGGAGTTTGATTTGATCTTCCTTCGTTAAGATTCGAATCTCTGGAGTTATGGGGCGTTTCGGGATAGCTTCCGAGGATTCGGATTCTATCTTGTCCACGTCCATAAGCATATCCTTCTCCGTGTAGAGACAGACAAAATGGAGATGTGTCTGGTGAGAGTTGAACTCACGACCTCAGCTAAGCTGAGACACATACTAGAGTGCTGCCTTTACCAACTAGGCTACAGACCTGTAGAGACAGACAAAATGAAGATGTGTCTGGTGAGAGTCGAACTCACGACCTCAGCAATGCTGAGACACATACTAGAGTGCTGCCTTTACCAACTAGGCTACAGATGCTTGTGACTTCCAGGGTTGTTGGGTGGTAGTGCTCATGGTTCGACATGTAGTGATACATCATGGTAGCAGACTATCAGACACCTCAACACCCCCCCTTGCTACATGATGTGGAAGTGGGAATGAGACCCAACAAATCATGATCAGAGTGGGAATTGAACCTGTGACCTGAGGTAGTCTTACAGGGGAAGTTTTGGTCTTACAAGTAAGCATTCACAACTTCATCTGGTCTCTGTTGTAAGCGGGTTACGCTTAGGTAGGCTCTGGGCTCATAACCTGTAGAGACAACTGCCAGGGTTGTTGGGTGGTAGTGCTCATGGTTCGACATGTAGTGATACATCATGGTAGCAGACTATCAGACACCTCAACACCCCCCCTTGCTACATGATGTGGAAGTGGGAATGAGACCCAACAAATCATGATCAGAGTGGGAATTGAACCCGTGACCTTAGGTAGTCTTACAGGGGAAGTTTTTGGTCTTACAAGTAAGCATTCACAACTTCATCTGGTCTCTGTTGTAAGCGGATGACGCTTAGGTAGGCTCTGGGCTCATAACCTGTAGAGACAGACAAAATGAAGATGTGTCTGGTGAGAGTCGAACTCACGACCTCAGCAATGCTGAGACACATACTAGAGTGCTGCCTTTACCAACTAGGCTACAGACGCTTGTGACTGCCAGGGTTGTTGGGTGGTAGTGCTCATGGTTCGACATGTAGTGATACATCATGGTAGCAGACTATCAGACACCTCAACACCTTATATGCGGGAATGGTAGTTCTTGTAAGATCATACGCTGAATCAGCAAGCAGATACTGACCTTTCCATTCAAAGATGATGTCAACAGAGGATCACCAAATAACAGCAAGATCGGATAGGAGATGGACTTACCCTGATCAAAGAATTGTGATGGGTTCTGATGGAGCTGCATCCGCTGGTAGACCTTACTATCACCACATGATCCTGGCCATCCAGAGATGAAAGATGTGATGAACCTATCACAATCACACACAATCTGAGCATTCATAAAGTATCGTTTCTTGCGATCGAAAAACGTCTCGCCATCAAATCCTGGGCGTTGGAAGATTGGGATAGTAGTACCGTCAACAAACCCAACACATCCAGAAAACCCCTCCATTCGCATAACTTCCGATATCTCGGCACGTCGATCCTTATCAGGCCATTGGACGTACACCCGTCCCATTGATATGAGAGCCTCGATGACCCGACGGGTTACCTTTACTACAGTACCTCGAGCAACTTGCAGATTTCGAGAGAACTGGCCTACAGAGGCACCGTTGCCATTCGAACCAAGTCGTTCAAGCGTAAGAGCAAGTTGATGAGGAATTGGTAGCTGAGGTCTATGCCCCCCACAATGAAAAACTTCATTGTCAAAAATCGTATCGAGCACTTTAATGAAACCGTGTTTGGTTGTTCTTGCTGCCTGTCGGAAGTCGTTATCCGACATGTCGAAAAGCCTTTCAATATCAAATTCTCCTTGTGATTTTGGCGCCCCCCGTGGCTCTAGGTATCGGTTCGATAACATGTACTGCAGAAGGTCCTGATACTCAGTCTCGTCGCTGAACAAGGCGTTGTAGGTGGTCTGCAGGATTTGACTATGGGGGAATGCAAGCTCGGCCATCAATTGTAGAGGCCTGATTCCAACTGCCCGCTTGACCATCAAATCTGTTTCTTCATACTCCAGCCGTAATAGTATCATTAAGATTTCCCTGATTAGACACTGCCTCTCGGAATACTGTCTCATGACTCTAGAGAATGGCCCGATAGTTAGTCATCTAAAGAAACTAAGGGAATTACACATTAACAAAAGATACTCACAATGTGGTAGTTGATTTGGAGACGATTTCTAGCTCTGTGAGAGGTCACAGTCAAGATGGAACAGGAAGATAACAATCGGGATGTACTGGCTGAAGATGATCAGCCTGTTTCCATCTGCTGGTGCAGTGCTTGTGTGTCTAAATTTTTTCGTAAATTTTATTGCTTTTTTTATTAACAGCAAGCTGATGGCTGACCAGCAAAGCGGCTAAAAAGCCTGACGTGAACCATCCTAATATGACCAAGTGCAGCAATTTTTCTCTGGTATAAGCAGGTTAACCCAAAGGTTTCATTAAGTTCATAAATGACTTATCTTCATTGATCAATTTTAAACAAGATTCAAACAATTACTAATGATGGGCTAAACATAACTATGTCGAAACTGTTTGGATGGCATTGTTATATGTTCTAAATATTAAAGTGTTGAATTTTCACTTGTTCTCTCTTTTTTTTCAGATGTCACTCATTTAATTCTCTAAAACTGATTTGTCAGTTTATTCATTATGCATTATCCTCAGCTCCCACAACTCCTGCATTATTGTATCTAAACCATTTATTTCACTTGATACTAAGAAATAAAAAAAAACCATTGGTTCTTTATTATTTTTTTGACCGTTCCTGAAGGAAGCACTTGAGCCCTTCCCTCAGTCTGTCTGTGAGCACTTGAGCCCTCTCAGCAAAATCATAAAAGATATTATTTTTCTTGGCTTTTCTGCCTGAAATTCAACATAAAGTTTATCACTGGATTGTGTTATATACATCTAGATTAATTTATGGATATTGTGTGAAATAGCACTAGTGAACTTAAATATTTATGACACATAACACAGTGTCCAAAAAAGGGACTATGAGATTCATCAAAACCAATATCTACATTTTATGCCAACATTCAACAGCACTTTGTGTAGGGGAAGTAGCACACTTTATTTTCCCTTGTTTTTTAAAAATGAATCAGAGAAAAACATTAGGCTCAATAACTGATCTAATTTAGCCAAAAAATGCCTTACAAACCTCTTGGTTTTCATTACACTATTACATCCTATCACTTGTTTTTTTTTTTCTGTGTTTATTCATGGTTTCTATTTGAATTCATCTGCCATCACAGTACTAAAGCAGTCTCCCACATATTTCTGGCTCTTTATAAAAAGACAGCACATGTTGCATGAGGGACACAAATGGACACTGACTGAGTGGGATTCAGTAGTGTAACTTACTGTACAACTTGCCAATTTTCAATAAGGTGCTTTTTTGTTGGCAGGGAAAATTTGATAATAAGGAAGCACACCCCTGGGCGATTAATCTCAAGACCTCTTTCGGCTTTGTTGTGCAGACAGCAATCCGAAAAAACAAAATGCAGAATATGCAGTCCAATGAACTCTTCAGCTAGAGTTGTATCACAAACTCTTGCCAGTTACAAAAGCCAGCATACTTACTAACTTAGTGACAGTTCATACTCCCACTCTGAATAGGTTGGCCACACTGATCCATGATGAGCTTATTGTGGCAAAGTGGCCGGGACTACTGATGGACAAGCTCCTGTCTAAGAGGTGGAACCCCCCTGAGCAGACTAGAGTGTGTCACACCCTGCACTTGGTTGGGTGCAGCAGAGTGACTGACATTCACTGACTGTGTAGGAAACGGCATGTGACCATCAGATGCTCTTGATCAGAGAGTATCTCTGATGTTGTAGGGTCTTGTGGATGCTCTTCTGCAGCAAGTATCACTTGGATGCTGTCGGAAGCATCCAAATGCTGCCTGTCAACCAGCACATCTTTCAGAAGCTCCGTTGAGCACTTCCTCTAGAGGCTTTCATCTACAGGATGGGTGCAGTTTCTCCAAACTTGCCCCATGACATATCCCTGTTCTTCTTTTCTGCTTCTTGTTTACGTATATCCAGTGTCCATCTGTAACACCCACACAAACACATTTCATTTATATATTGATTACAATTCAGTCAACACTAGCACAACAATCTTCATAAGTAAATACAAAAAAAACCCTATGATATGTATATTAAGTTGTTGGTGTTTTTCAACCATCCTCCTTTTCATTTTTTTTGTTGTATATATATATTGTATGTAAAGCTTCTTTTTTTTATCAGATATCATAGTCACAAATCACACACAAAAAAAAGAGAAAACTAACTGATAAAAAAACAAGTACAGAGAGAGAGGTTGATTGTGAGAAATCATGATGATGAAGGGACAAGGAAGGGGAGTTTATGTGGGTGGGGGGGGGGGGGGGGGCTTAGAATTGATGGTTCAAGCAATCATCATTATTGAGATCATTATTGTTCAGTGGTTTGGGGTGTGGAGTAGAGTGTCTTGTGGAGTGGGGTAAGTTTTCCCACTGACTTCGAGCTTCATTAGTCAAATCAAACCTGTAAGAAGGAAAACAATCAACAAAAAACGATCAATCGTCATCGAGAGAGAAGCAAAGGATATACGAACCTGTTTTTCTTTTCGGTCTTTTTGGTCGAGCCGAAGCCGAGTTTTTGAGAGAAGGATTTCGTAGAAGTAGGGGAACCTAAGGGCCCGAATTTAGAGTGAGAAGCTGAGGAAGAGGAAGGATGACCATGGATAGAGGAAGCTCTGCGAATGAAGTAAGGGTCTTCTTCGTTGTGTTGATGATGATTATGACGATGATCGTCACGATGATGATGATGATGATTACGAATAGATTGACTAGTTTGCCTTCGAACGATTTTCGAGCTGTTTAGATTAGGGTCTCTGATTCCGGATGGCTCGTAACCATTACTAGAGGTAGAGGAAGGATTGTCCAAATTAGAGAGAGTATGACGATGGCCGATGGATTTTTTCTTGCGAAGATGACGACGATCGTCGGTAGGAAACCGGTCAAGATCGCGCGCCTCTTGAGAGGAAAAGTGGCCAGGATGACGCTGAGGTTGGTGGCCGTTCTCGAGGGAGCGTTCGTCGCGTGTGATCGAGCTGGAGCTGTCCATGAAGCTCTCCGGCTCTAGGAGCCCCGACCGAGGCACTCCTCCTTCCCTCGAAGAGGCCGTCGGTCGCTCGTCATCGTCTTGGTATCCATCCGCTCGCGTCGGCGTTCGCTCATCATATCGGTTCGCCCATTGCGTCTTCGCCTTCCGTTTCGCCGTGGGATCTTTCACTAGTCCCGCCTTGGTTGCCCATTGGGGCGTTCGTTTTCGGTTCTCATTGTTTCGAATGTTTTGGAGATAACTGGATTGAAAGGCAAGCCGGAAATAAATCAATGGTTTTCCTTGGTTTTTTGTTTTGTTTTTTGACTTAAGACTGTTTTCTTGAATCGAAAGGTACTAACAAGTTATGACCGTGTCTAAGAGAGAAGAACAACGGAAGAATTGAAACAAAAAACCCCGAAGTTTAGTTAGAAAAGACGATTTATATTGAGAAAAAGAAGTTGGGATGATACTCACCCTGGTATATAACCGCAAAGAGTAAGCAAGATATTTAAGAAGAAGTCTGTGCCGAAACCGAATCTGAGCAAGACAGCCACAGGTGGTAATACCCTACCGGAAAGTTCAAGATGTATGCGTTGTGTGTGAAAAAAAAAAAGAATCGAATCAAATATACATCAGCTGAAACGAACACTCTCTTTCCGCTCCGCTGCCCCTCCTATTTTTTTTTGGTGGTCAACAGAGCAAGGATTTCGTTTGAGCGCGTTAAAAAAAAAAACTGACCATCCGACCACCATTACTAAAACATAAAATCCATGTCTTCGATGAATCTTAATTCCATCAGTCATCGCTCCTCGAGATTAAGAAGAACTGCAGCCCCGAATACTTGGTCCGAGCAGAAAAATACGAACGATGGATACGATTGTGTGTGAGAATGTTTTATAGGGGGGAGGAGGTCAGGGGGAAGCAGGTCAAGTTGTGTATATGCGTGTAGAAGGGTCAAGAAAGCAGAAAGCTCTCTCTTGGGAGACAATCAATGCTGTGCGGTTGGTTTTTTTCGTTTTTTTTTTGTTGAATGGTTGATATCTATTTACGTATTTGAAGTGATGAGGAGATGCTTGGGGTTGGTGGGTGTTGCTGATGGATGTTCTTTTGAGGTTTTCTTGTTGATTAGAAGCAGTCAAGAGAGGAGCAGGAGGGAGGGGAGAGGTGGTGGTGGTTTGCTGTGGTTTGGGTTTATGTATGTGCTTACACACACACGCACATACTATGGTTTTATTCGTTTTGCCATGGTTTTGTCTGGGTTTTGTCCGGATTATCCTTCGCATTTGAATTGGCTCCTCTTCGGTGATCTGTCTCCGGAGTCAACCGGCTCACACAGCCATCAACCGAGAGTCCGAAAACTCCGCCGGCCACATTAATGTGGGGGTTCCGATCCGGCGTCACCTCCGAGCCAGATCTCACCGGCCATCCCGTTCCCCCAGCTACAATACTGCAGTACAGTGATAGCTTTCTGAAGCTCATAACAGACCACAGGGGCAGCCACAAGAGTAGAACTCAGTATTGATGATTGTAAATCCGGCTTTTTTTCATCAAAACAGAAAAACAGCTTGGTCAATAACAATGGCTAGCCGGAACTCAGTCATCCAGGAATTCGAGCCACTTCATGAGTGGAGGGGGATACACGATTTCTCCTTACCCAACTGGATACTCCGTATGATCTATTGACCGATTGAGGCGGAATTCCAAAGAACTCCTTAACCAGCCTTAACTCGATTGGACTGATGCAGGGCAAAGTCCTCTTTATGGCGCTCGCATAACCGAAAAAAAAAGACAAGAAAAAAAGAAAGCAGAAGTGATATGTACCAGTGCAAAGAACAGAAGCAATGGTCCTGACGATGAGCCGGGGCGTCAACGGTTACGAACCACCTACAATATAAATGTACTGGGGCCGTCAAGTTGGGGGAGGAGATTAAGCTCCCTCACGAACACTGCGCTGGTCCAACATAAACAGACAAAATCACTTGCTATCAAAGATATCTTTTTAATCCACCACACCAGGATACCCTTTTCATTCACCCAGCTCCTCTAGAAGGGAGTTCATCAAAGAATAGGCTTATTGATTGGCAATCTCTCTTCAGCGACACATCAAAGGCCCAAGCTTGGCGATAATGGATGGCTCATATGGCGAACGTCCAAAGGTACAAGAGCTTAGGAAACAAGCAGGTATGATTCCGCTTTTGATCATCCTATCCCCCGAACCCCAAAGAAAAAAAATGAAGCAAGACATCAATCTTGTGAGTTGATAACAAGAAACTGGGATAAAGATTTGATCATTCAGGGATTGGGACAACTTGGACTCCGCGGTAATGGCTTTTTCCTTTGGCCTTCTCGGACAAGTGATCCTCAAATTGATATTACTATCGAGCAACTGAGACTGAAGGAAGAACTTTCAAGTTGATTGGCCTCAGTGCTTCTACCAAAACTTCGACTACAATGTACCAGTCTTTCACACAAGTATGCCGAGCTATCTTACGTGCCGGAAGCGCCGGGATCAGCTGTCAAGCTTATCTCAGAAATCCAGGCCAATGTTTGTGATTTTTACTAGGATTCGAAGTGCACCTTTTTGAACAACGTGAAATATGTTAGAATAACGACTCCGACGACTTCAACTCTGACTACTCGACACACCTTTTTGAACAACGTGAAATATGTTAGAATAACGACTCCGACGACTTCAACTCTGACTACTCGACACACCTGCGATGAAGCAGTTTTTGTGTTTTGTTTTTAGGTTTTGGATAGTGAATGATGGAGGACACGCGTGAGATTTTAGATCAGTCTCTTCTCCACTTTTTAACTTGATTAAGCGTGTGATTATTTCTGAGAAAAAGAAATCATAGAATGAAGAAAACAATTTGTGTTTTAGCGAACCTTTTTGAACAACGTGAAATATGTTAGAATAACGACTCCGACGACTTCAACTCTGACTACTCGACACACCTAATTAGAGAGAAATAATGAGAATGAGAAAATATAAGATGTTAGAAAAACATTTTCATATAAGAGAAATTACGACAGAAATATAAGTGATTGAGATAATAGGAAAGATTAATCATACCTGCGATGAAGCAGTTTTTGTGTTTTGTTTTTAGGTTTTGGATAGTGAATGATGGAGGACACGCGTGAGATTTTAGATCTAGAAAGAGAGAAAAACAACAGGAAAGAATAAAGAAAAGAAAAGGTTTCAGTTGTTATTGTTGCAATAGTTTTGTTGAGTAGTGTTGAAGAATTTTGCTTACCAGTCTCTTCTCCACTTTTTAACTTGATTAAGCGTGTGGGGAAAAGACTGGTATCGGGGTGAGGGAAATTGTTTTTGATGGGGTTGCGGGGGAGAATTGGTTAGGTTTGATTTAGTGATGTTCAGATGCGAGTGAGAATTGAAACTCTTGCTGCGTATTCATAATGAGATGTGATATCGAATAATTCAACAGTCCCCCTCAATTTGAACGGCATCTGTCAATCCGATCATGTCTCTGAATTTGTTGAATGGGTTTTTGCCAAGATTTTTCGTCAATAGATCTGCGATCATGTTACCGGTGTATACATGTTTCATCTTGAACGTTCCTTCTTGAACATGTTCGCGAATCCAATGATGTTCAATTGCAACATGTTTGACTCGACCATGATGGACCGGATTTTGGGCAAGGTGGATGGCGCTTAAATTGTCACATATCATTTCAAGTGGTGTTTGAACTGGGATCTGTAGTTCTTTCATCAACTTCATTAACCATAGTGCTTCTTGGCCGGCCTCGGTAATTGCTCGATACTCTGCTTCAGTTGATGATAATGCGACGGTTGGTTGTAGTCGACTTCTCCAGCTGATCGCGCCGCCCATGAATTTGAACACATATCCTGTGGTTGAACGCAGCGTGGTCCTGTCGCCAGCCCAATCAGCGTCACTTGCCATAGTTGGAAAACTCCAGCTTGGATTTGCGGAAAGTGGGTCTGTTCTGCCGGACTTGTATCCAATCTTCATATGTTGAGTGAGCTTGAGGTATCGTAAAACGTGTAGAAAAGCGTCCCAGTGATGTTGGTTGGGTTTCTCTAAGAATCTGGATAAGACTCCAACAGCAAAACTGATGTCGGGTCGAGTGCATATTGCAATATACATTAGGGAGCCCACGGCTTTACGATATCGGTTGTTTCTGGCTGTGAATTGGGCTGAATCTTCATCTGTTGATTTTAGTAGTTTGACATTATAACCAAAGGGGGTGCATGCGGGTTTACAATTTGCCATCTCGAACTTGTGAAGGACGTTATTGATCATTCCTTGTTGGTGAAGGAAATAGTTTCCGACATAGTCGCGTTGAATCTCGATTCCTACAGCAAACTTCGCAACACCTAGATCTTCCATAGCCCATTTTTCCTTGATTTCATTCTTGACGACTGAGATCTCATCACCGGTGATAATCATGTCATCCACGTGTAAATAGATAATGCTAATTTTTCTATTTCGATTTCTGAAAAATACGCATGAATCCGCCTCAGTTTTTGTGAATCCAATGAGCTTCAGGTATTTTTCCACTTCAAGGTGCCATAGACGAGCAGATTGTTTCAAACCGTAAATCGATTTGTGGAGACGCCAGACAGTGTCTTTGTTTTCCTCTACAAAACCTTCAGGTTGTTCAAGGTAGATTTCTTCGTCCAAATCGCTGTTGAGGAAAGCAGCGACGGCGTCCATTTGTTCAATTATCCAGTTGTTTCTGGCTGCGAGTGCGATGACTAATCGGAGGGATGATGGTTTGCCGGTCGGTGAGAAAGTCTGATCGTAGTCGACTCCCTCTTCCTGGGTATATCCTTTGGCAACAAATCTCGCTTTGTACTTCGATATGCTGCCGTCAGGGAGAGTTTTCACCTTGAATACCCATCGTCCCTTGATCACTTTACGGTTTTTCGGGCGGGTAGTTAAGCTGAAGACTCCTTTATCTTTCATACCCTTGACTTCCTTCATGCACGCTTCGATCCAGCGTGTTTTGAATTTGGAGTTTTGGATTTCATTGAAGCGTTTTGGTTCAAACTTTGGGTCGGTGTTTTCGGGAGTTTCTTTGCTTTGTTTGGTTCCTGCAAGGTATGCGCGTTTAGGTTGATTTCCGATTCGCGTGGAACGCCGAACGTAATTTGGGTGGTCGGGGTGATCGATTGGGGGTTTTGGTGGGATGATTTTGAGGGTTTTGGGTTGCTCCGGTTGTTGCGATGACGCGTTCATTTCCTCTTCATCTGACTCTGAGGATTCGGTCTTGTTGTCATCGGGTTTTGCGGGTTCTGGTGTAATCTCGGAATCACTCTTCTCGTCTGTTTCGATCTGGAATGGTTCATCGATATCGTCTCCCCTTTCGGGGAATGTGATTTCATCAAATGTTACATCATGAGTGTTAATGAATCGATGACTATCGTAGTCAAACACAAGGTAATTGCGGTTGAATTCGTCGAAACCTGCCAGAAAGCCTTTTCGAGACGTGGGTGTGAATTTATTGTCTCTTTCTTCCGACCGGTTCTGAATGTAAACCAGGCATCCGAAGGTGTGGACATATTTGAGATTAGGTTTATGTCCGTACCACAACTCGTATGCCGACTCTGGAAAGCCGTTTCGCGATCGATTAAACACTCTGTTCTGGATGAATACAGCCGCGTCACATGCAAGACTCCAATATCGAGTCGGGACTCCACTTTGGATCAGCAAAGCTCGAGCCTTTGTCGATATCGTGCGCATGAACCGTTCCACTAGCCCATTTTGTTGAGGGGAGTATGGCGCTGTAGTATTTTTGACTATACCAAGCGAATCACAGAAAGGGGTGAGTAGGGAGTTGATGAATTCGCCGCCTCCGTCTGATGTTATCATCTTAACTTTCCTGTCGCAATGTCTTTCGGCGCGCATAATGAAAGAGCTTATTGCCTCAAACACTTCTTCCTTAGTTTTTGTTTTGAGGAAAAATATGAATGTCATTCGCGTGTATTCATCGACAACTAGCATAAAGTAGGAGTAATTAAATATACAAGAAGTTCTAATAATTCCACTGAGATCTATGTGGATGTTGTCTAAAGGATTGCGAGTATATGGTTTGGTACCGGAGAATGGAAGCTTGGTGGATTTGCTTAAACGGCATGTGTCACACGTCTTCTCGGTCTTGTCGGTTTCGCCTTCAAGTGTCTTCTTGAGATATACAGGGTTGATG